CTGAATCTGGACGCCAGTTCCGACTTACATACAAATTCAACTTAAGAACAAACCTACAGTCCCTATCTTGTACGTAACCCGGGGACTGCCTGTAACATAATTAGAAGCCAACTTTGAAGAGGAAAATAACAGTTTTCTTCTGATATTGTTAAGTAACAAGAGCAAATTAGTCAGAAAACCACATGCCCCCAAGGACAAGTGAAAGTCAGCTATTCGCTATCTTGACTAGGGATGTAATAGTGCAGTCGATTAACCAATAAGCAAAAGCTTGTAAGTTAATGCAGTAGACTACATGCATTCCTCTCTCCCCGTCTCCCTGCCAGTACATTTTTTAGCAGTCCTGGCTTGCAGCGGGTCCGGGACCTACCCCCGCTGCAGCTCAGCATTTAAAGTGTATTAGGAGCAGGGAGAGTAGGCAGCCCGGCTCACGCTGAGTCCGAGAGCTCAGACCGCCCCTAGACAGGGACTGCTGCCACCACGATAGAATAGTCAACTAACGGATACAATTTCATGAGGTTACTTGGCTATTCAATTAACCGATATTTAACATCCCTACTCTTGACTGACCGACTGACACCCATTTCAGTTCATGGTTGATTAAGGCACAAAAGGAGAGCTGGTACTGAGGGACATAACTTCAGACAGGAGAAGACAGTTAAGAAGTTATTGGAAAGGAGACACAGCTGATAAGTCAAAATCCCCTTTGGAAGCGTCCTGCAGAATCTCATAGCAAATCAGAGCATTTCTATTGGGCTTCAAAAGTGCCCCATGGAATTTAATAGAGAAGCACATTCTTACCATGGAACTCTGTAGGCTGGTTCAAAACACATCAGAAACAATCTCATTCTCTATTCAATTCCTGAGAGTGTGAATGTGCTTTCTAGACCACTCTACAGGCTTCCTTTGTAATAAAAGTCTATAAGGCTTGTCCATAAAAGGAAGACAATTTGCTTCAGTGCCATCTTTTAAACTTTGCCGAGAAGTTATTACCTGGACAGGTATCACACCACTGTTCTTAAAGACAAAAGGGAGCTTCTCCGAACGCTCTAGCAGAAGCCTCTTGAAAAGGAGCAGGGGGTTTCCTCTTTTGTTGCGGAGGATGGGGCGCAAGATGGTCACTCGGGGTAAGTTCCCATCCCCACTGATATCAAATGTTAAATTTCGCAATTTAGCCACCACGCTGCAGAGAGCAGGGAAAAACCCTTCATTCTAGGCACATGCCTGCAATGTACAGAGCACAGACTGAGCCTCCTTCAGGAAGCAGTGGGTTAGATTACCTTGGCAGTCCATCAAGGAAAGCTTCAAAAATGCACTGGTAGCTCTGCATTGTCTGTGGGGTGAAAGTCACAGTAGCAAAGGCATGGGAGCGGCTGGGGACACACATCCGAACAGGATCCACCTCGAAGATGTCGCTAATGCGGGCAGCAGCCTTCAGGGAAACCCAGACAGCAGGGGTGGCCATGAAATACCCCTCGCCTAGAGCCAGGCAGCAGAAGTCACACTGTGTGGGAGCCCCCAGGCTCGCCACTCCTGCACAGGTAGGGATGTCAAACAGCATGTCTGACCTAACCGTAGGCAGCAGCGAAAGCTCTGCCTGTTCCAAGAGATGGGAAGCGATGGGACACCAGCGTGTGACCGCGGCTGGCAAGGGCTCCCTTAGCAGGCCCTGCTGCAGCCCTGGATGGGTGCACTAGTCACCGTGCGCCCCGGTTACTGATTAGCTCCCAAATCTCACCAACCTCTGGGCTCAACGGGAGCAAGCTGCCCCGTTCACGCAGGGGAGGAGCGATCAAGGGAGCTGAAAACAGCCCACACTGGCTTGACGTCAAGGCCGACCAGCGCCACCCTCTGTGTACAAGTTTGTCAGGGGCCAGGAGCCATTTAAGGAAGGGGCGCAGGATGCTGGCGAGGCGGGCTAATCGGGGCTGCTTACACAATAGCGTGAGGAATGAGACTGTCACTCCCCTGGGCGAGGGGGGACATTGTTCCCCAGGACTTCTTCCTTTCAGTACACGTGGGCTAATCGGATCCCTCGTGCCAGGCACCACCAGCACTGGGCTGATCTGGAGGCTTCTGGTGGATCAGGCAGCAGGGATCAGCCCGGGCAGCCAGCTAATGCTAGGGGCACGGGCAGGAGAGACATTCCGCTCACGGGGTCCAACCTGGCAAGGCCGAGGCCACACACTGCCTCCAGCGGATAGTCCCACAGCCCTGCCTGGAGCTCTGATTCTGACCTTGCTGGAGACAGGCTTGACTGCGAGAACCACATCGCAGGGAATTCGGCCCACATTGGCGATCTTGAACCGAGCTGTCGCCCGGTTCCCCACCACCACATTGCTGAAGATGAACTTGTTCTCATCTGACACAAACACCCCGCTGCCTTCCACCGTCTGCAAGATCTGGTAAAGGTTGATGTTGCTGCAGATCCGATGCTCCTCGAAAATAGACCCAATGTCATCAACCACAAAGGCTGAGGGAAAACAGACACGACAGTAGAGCCAGGGCATTGTCTTCTGGGATGAAACACACAGGCCCACCCTGTCTTGGGAGCAAATCTACTGACTAGAGGGGCTTTCATGCAGGGCTGACTTGTCTCAGGAAGTCCTTTTTGCACAAGTCGGGTACCGGCTCACCCAAGCGAGCATCGGTTGAACTTCACACCTCTGGCTCAGAAGGCATGTGCCGCTGCTGCCTCCCTCTGCCTACCTCTCGCCCACTCTGTGTGCTGCTCTGTCGCACGTCAGAGGTGGCTGGGCCACACTGAGGGGTTGAAGAGCTCACTACAGTTGGAGCTAACGTTTATTGCCAGCAGTAGCGGCTCAGGCTTTGAGAACCAGAGATCCCAGGTTCACTTCCCACTGTCAATAACCCACAGCGTGTGTGTTCCATCAATGGCAAAGCTAACAGCTCTCCAGCCTGTACTCCTGTACATGGGACAGGACTATCAGGGAGAAAGAAGATTTGCTGTACACAAAAGAGGTAAGTGACATCACAGGGACCTCTCTGTGCTTTCTCTGCATCATGGTTCTTTGGACAACCTGGAATTGCACTGCCCCATACACAGATCTCATCTGGTCCTCAAGGCCAGGTGTTCTTCCACTAGCACTGGAGTAAAACTATTCCAATCCCCTTGCCCTATTCACAGCGGCTCACACCCGGAAGCAGGAGGGCCAACAGACTTTCTGGGTCCGTGGGCAAGGTGAAGGGGCAGCTCTGTGCTCCTGGAAGGGGTGGGGCTGGTGATGGTGCCTCAGCAGAAAAAGGCCATAGAACATGTGGAGGTTGGACACCTGAGCCAGCCTACGGTGATCAGTTTACACTCTCAAGCTGGAGAGCTGGTTCTCTGCAATCCTGTAGCGGGTTGGAAGCCAGCAGCGGAGGTGTTCAAGATGAGCCCCCTTCTCTCAAGTGGGGTGCCCAGGATAATGCCCCCCGGCAAAGGAGCGTGTCTGTACCTGGCAGGCAGGACTCAGCGATCAGGGTGTACGGGATGCCTCCCGGATTATCGTCAGGGTCCCTGTCAGTGATGTCAATGGCCAGGTATTCCTCATCCTTTCCCACTGGCTCTGCTAAACAATCAACGGTGATGATCTGCTGGCCTCCTGCAGGGATGGATCCAAATCCAGGGTACACCGTGAACATGCCTAGAGTGAAGCGAGCCTGCAAAGAGTCAAGTACCCTGCCAGTTAACAGTTCTTTCTCCCTGCTTCCCTACAGCCAGTCCTGGGGCTCGCAGGATTCCCAGCAGCTCCTACAGTCCTCTGAGGAGGACGCATCAAGGATTCGGCTCAGTTTAATGGTCACATCTTGTGCATGCAGCCAAGTTCAGGAACCTACTTCTGGCTCTGTGCCCTAGGCAGCAGGGGAAGCACAGAACCTTCTGGTCAGCTCAAGAGTGATGCCGAAAAACTGCAGAGGAAGCAGCATCTGATCTTCCCTGTCAGAGGAAGCAGGTTTGGAAGTAAAGAAAGGGGAAATCAGCAAGAATTCTCCAACTGCTGGTGGGGAGCAAAACAAGAAGGAGAAGGATCTTGCTGGGAGGTAGGAGGAAATAATGAGAGTAGAAAGACTGGGCAGAGAGAAAGGGGGAAAGAAAATCACCCAAACAAAGACTACCAGCTCTGGAGCAAAGATACCGTCAATGCCAGCAGCGCGCTCCCGGGTCTAGCTCTAGGGGGAGCAGCCGAGCAGCCTGTGGCAGGGCCTAGCAAACACTGCAGCGGGCGGGGTGGAACATGCACCTACCTGCACAACAAGGTTGATGTCCTTCTGCAGAGATTCAGCGCGCTTGCTTTGTTTGCTAACAGGAGGGATTTTGCTTAGGGTCTCGCTGTCACGGGAGCGGGAGTGCTTGATGTGGGATGGTCTGGAAGAAACAAAACCACATCACAGTGGGGACTCCTCCCTGTCTGCCCCCCCTTGTCCCAGAGCTGGGATTCCCCTACGAGGAGGCATACCATTCTGACCGAGGGCCCAATGGCCACTGAATGGCTTGCCAGATGACGCTTATCGGTTACAGCAGGGAGCTGCTCCAGCCTGGCAGGGCCTGCCGTGGGCGGGGGCGCTCCAGCCCAGTCACAGCAGCCCCTGAGCGCGAACGAGGGGGGCAAC